ATATCAAAGGATGATTGGGAGTCATTTCAAAAGCTCTTAAAGTGAAATATAAAAGTTTAATGTGTTTTTTTTATTTAGTAAAAAATGCTTTCTTTGATGTGTCTAAATCGGTTTCGTGGGTGGAGTGGGTAAAAGTCGAGGGATATATTTATGCTCAAATTCTTCTGAGAAATGTGGCTCTCGCTAGTCAGACTGAGCTTTGGAGGAGAATAAGCAGCAGCAGACCTGGAGGTCAGGGCGGCCATGAAATGCCCCCTGCTGCTTAAAGCTTGTTACAGACAATACAAGTTCTACTATTGAGCAACAGCTGTGAGCATGAATAATATCACAACATCTTCCAGTACACAACAAAAATGATTTTTCATGATCTGGAAACCAAAAAATGTAAAATGACTCACCCTCAATGTTCTTAAGTTAAAGTATACAGTTACCAGAAGCGTTAGGAATTGTGACATCTTGGGTTATCCACTCCTCACTAGAGCAGAAACAGGCAGTGTCGGATCGAGGTGCAAGAATAACATCAGTGACTCACTTAAAACAATATTTTTAATGAATGTCTTTCATTTGAAACCATTCACTTGCTACTCATTTCACAGCCAACAGGTGGCTTTTAGAGGCTTAATTTTAATGTGCCTAGTATATAGAGTACTATATATTTACAAAACCTGTTTTTATGATGGTACAAGATTGAATCAAACAGATGCAACGCATTTCTTTTGACTTAAGATAAAGTCTGTAGATATTTTACATGTAGATATTGCACACTTTGCAGGTAGTTTCTTCCACTTTTTCCATTAAGCACATTTAAGTCTTTCAATATAATGAACTCTTGTTAATATTTACACTTTGAAAGTGGAATTATTACATATTAGCAGTAAAACAGAAATACAATTCAAGTGCACTTATTGACTGTAGAGTTCATCTCTGCTTTATTCACGAACAGGAGTTAATATGGGTGTAGTACTGTATACACTGTACAGACTTCAAAAACCCCTCAAAGCAAAGTGTCTTGATGCATGCTCAATCATCCAGGTAAGTAAATCCCAAAAAGGTTGATTCTGTTGATCTGGATGTAGCGCTTTCAGTGGGAGAAACGTTTTGTCACTCATCCAAGTGATCGCTTCAGTCTCAGCTGACTGGAAGTTTCCCCAATCTTATAAACAGTACATTCCACAATGACTGAAACTAGCACCACTGAAGCAGCAATGGGCTGGGTGGTCAGTTGATAATTAATATGCAAATTCTCATTGATCCACCACTACTGATCAAGGTCCATTGATCAAAGACCGCTGATCAATGGCCATGAGTACCATTCACAGAGAGTTGGGGAATGGCTGCAATCACAGCATTACTGGAAGATGGTAAAAGATGTACCCTTAGGCCCCCTCCTCGATTAAGAGATGGTCTTTCCCTTTTCACGTAAATGGCCTCCTTGACTCTGCACTCAAACCAGCGTTCCTCCCTGTCCAGGATGTAGACATCCTCATCAGTGGTCTTTGATCAATGGGCCTTGATCAGTAGTGGTTGATCAATGGTCATGGCATATTAATGATCAAGGAACTGACCTCCCAGCCCATTGTATATTTGGTGGTGCTAGTTTCAGTCATTGTGCAATGTACCGTTTATAAGATTGGTGAAACCTGCAGTCAGCTGAGACACTAATAAGCAAAATACCAAATTAACACAAAAAACTAAAACTTGAATTCATCTTCAAAAAAAAGAAAAGAAAAACACAAAACAAAAAACCCATCAGATTATAGATTCAGTGATTTCAAATTTCATTGGTCTGTTTGCACAATTAACAGCAAGCCATATTTTTTTTAACTGCTGTATTAAAAGGACTCAAAGTCACAAAGACTACAAACAAACATGGTCAAAAGGTCCTGCAAATCAAATTAGTTAACCTAAAGTCACAAAGCAGAGAGCGACTGGAAACCATTTAACAGTCTGTGCTATAAAAAAAAAAAGTAATTTGAAAGGGTGAAATTAGCTGCTAGTAAGCATAGAAACAAAAATATATATTCGAGGCTGTAACTACACATGGGAGTCTACAGGTTTGATTTGCTTTTGGAGATGAGCATCGGAGGAACTGCAGTGTGAGCACTTGTGTTGGATTCATTTTTTAGTCCGTCACTTGAAAATACACAAATAATTGAATTATTTTTAAGTTTATATGAAGAAGTTTAGTAATATCTGAATGTTTAATGGAGCTTAGCTATCTGAAGAAGGTGATAACTGTTTGAAACACAATGTAAATAAAAGCCTCTGTGTTACCTAAAAAGACTGTACACCTTGTATCTGCCGTCAGCCTTGTTCTCCTCCCGTCTATCCCAGTCCGCACCTGGATACAAGCCCTTCTATAATCTCCTTACATAATAACGTCAAGCCTGACCCTGACCAAGGAGAAAGCCTCCTGCCTCGTTTACAACTCGGCACACAAATCCTAAAAACAGGACAGACTTTGTCATGCAAGAGGGGCCAGACAGTCTGAAGTGATTTTGTCTTTAAGGAAAAGTGGATTTTGGAGACTTATGTGGGGAGAAAGGAAAGAGACACTGTGAATAGTTCAGGTTAAGCACTTTGTATCTTTCTTCTTTCCCCCACTTCATTATTCTCAGTTGCCATGGAGAAAAACTATATATAACTCGTCTCTCTATCTCTCTCTCCAGAGGCCTGCCTGAATTCAAAATCTTTTCTCCGTGTCATCTTCCTTTTCCATTGTTTCCACAGAGAGGACAGTAGGAGACAACATCTCATTTCAATAGGAAATCTGTCTAATGCCCAGCTTTAGCGGCAGGAGGGACATGTCAGGGCAGAGCAGACAAACTAAAACAAACCAGAGTTAGCGAGTGACCAGCCAGACACTATGGCGGTTTCCCTTGGTCTTCTGGCCAGACTCCCATTTTCAGAAACCAGTGGCTTCAAAGGAATAATTCATTTCACAGTCTGGTGGCCAGACACAGAGCCCCGAGACTCACGCCACTTTTAACACCTAAAGAAGAAGAAAAGCAGATTTCCCACTCTGCTTCGCCTTTCGCAGTACTGTACCACAACAGCATTTTGTCAGGCTAAATCTAATTAAATTCAAACACTCAGGCCAAGAGGAGTTAGTCAGGGTTTGTGCCTTTTCATTACAAAGTTTTTTAATTTGTAGTTTAAGACATTGGACATTGGATGTCTTACTAATCACATCCCGTGTAGCTTCGCTCAGAATGTCACACAAAAGCTTTTACTTCTCTGACATCTGTATTAAAATCCCACCAGGTTAACTTTGGTTAAGGTTAGGCGCAAAAAAGATTTGTTTCAGGTTGAGGAATGTTCACGGTCTGAGTTAAAATAAGTACTTGTTAAAGATGGGGAAATGTGTGGTGGTTAAAATTACTGGTTTGTTAATGTTAGAGGACCTTCGTCATCATGGTTAAAATAATAGCTTCTTGGTTAAGGTTAGAAAAAAAACAGCCATTATCATTATGGTTTAAAGAAACCCATCTGACTGTCAGAAGGAAGTGGAATGCAAACAGCGGTCTCTATGTCCAAGTCAGGCTTTTTGGTGATTCATCCATCCGCCCCAAGTACTTCCTTTACTGTGAGTGTAGCATGGAACTAAGTTTGTTTTTAGTCCCAAAAGATAAAGTCAAGACCTGACACCACTCCTGTCCAGCTGTCTGTTATAGAACTACATCAACACAAGTGGATGGCTACCTTTGCTCTGTACACCTGCCAGCATCTGTAAGGCTCAGTCATCAACTCCATTTCATGCACAATCCATACAGTAAATAAAGAGTTAATTGTCGCCATCTTGCTCCACATTCATAGGATAGCGATATGCCAGGATACAGCTACATGTACGCAGTCTCAAGTCTGTTTTCTTTGTGCAGACATATGGAGTTTTCAAAAAGCTTTACCTCGACAGGAGTTTTTCCAAAACGCCATCTTCAGTAATCTTCAGTATTCACTTTTCATTGAAAAGGCCAAAATGCATACAAATAGCTATGTTCAGCAAAATACCTTCATAAATGTGGCCATAGCATTCATTACAAGCTAAATCTGCGTGAAACCATTCCCTCCTTTATGGGCCTTTTTGACTCTAGTGGGACCATACATTTTAAAATGAGAATTGTGTTGATCGCAGTAGGATAAGAAACCAGTAACTTTATTAGTGTTTACTGAGGTCATAGTTAGGGAAACAAGGGCTAATTTTGACTATTTCTTTTTGGAACCAGAGTACTCGCCCCCTGCTGGACATAAGAAATAATGCAGGTATATGGCATTTTGGTATCTTTCATCATTTTGTTTTTTCCTCATTAAACTCCAAGACAAAAATTTAATAAGCACATTATATATATATAACATCAACCTGCTGATGAATTTAAATTTACTCACAAATGTACACGGGTGTAAAACCAGGTGACATGGATGCATAACGCTGAAGGTAATAAATAATAGTAAGCTTGTCAGACTTTATGAAAATATTGTAAAAACCTAACATTACAAACAAATTATGATGGCTACTGTTAGCTAAATCAAAACACCTCAATATAGTCATATAGTAACCTGATTAATTTTTGTGTCTGCGGACATGATTTTCCATCACTGTTTCTGACTCGGCTGTTGGACGATGTGGCAGTAGTGTGGATCTTTTCTTCCATCACGCTGGAAACCAGGATTTTTACGCTTGAATTGCTTGAAATAATTTTAATTGTGTTATTATCATTTAACTGCTTAAAACTAACTGGTGGCCAGTTCAGAGCTTGTATGGACTTTGTGCTAAAGTCCAATTAATGTAAGGAATAAATAATATGATGCTCTGCATTCACACACAGACATTACCAGGAGGAGCTGCAGTTTGGGTATAAAAACTGCATTCCCTGCAGCCTGTCCTTGCAGACATAGACCTTGCCCCAGTTAGTTAACGGACTTACGCCAATAATCATTTTTATACCATCTCACTGCAAGTGAAATGTGTCCATGCACAGCCTTTCAAGCCTTAAGGATCTTACCTTAGAGGCCCTCCGCCGCTCAGGACACTCGGGATGTTGGCACACCACCCCATCGTCCTCCTGGACGGGCTTCTCATCTGAAACAGAACACACGGGTCAGTTTGACTTCCCTCTGTATCACTAAAAACACCAAACCAGCCACCCAGCCAGCAGCACGTCCATTAACACACCTTTCTTGGTAAAGTTTTAAAAACGTACTGCAGACAGCGAGACTAAAAGTCGCTGCCTGTGTTTACATAAGGATGGAGCGACTACGAGCACAAGAAACACACAGTAATAGAGACCTAGAAGCCACGTAATAAAAAAATGGAAGAAAGAAAAAAGAAAAAGAACTTCGGCTACAGAGATTTCATGAAGGGAAGGTAAACAGAGGGAAGAGGGTGGGGTGTGTTTTTGGGAGGAGATCAGAGAGAAATGACAAGAACAGACAGGAAGAAAATGGAGCAAATGAGAGGAAGCCCCAATCTGGGTTTTGTACAAAAGTGCACTCATCATGGGCAAGCTCGCAGCACTCTGCTGCACAATAACAAATCACTGTTGTCAAATAAACTTCTAAAGTCTACTTACTAGCTGGCTATCGCTACACCGGGGGGCACGATAAAAGGCAGTGTTTACATCTACATCTCCTACATGTACACACACGATAGAAATATCATAACAGAGGCCCTGAGCACACCAATATTTATCTGACCGTTTAATGAGAAAAGCAGAGCATACATGTGAAGAAAGGAGAAAGTAAAAGCCAGGAGGGTAAAACAGAAGGAGCCTCGCTCCAAAAGATCTGCAGTTTCCACGCATGACAGGACTTTTTAGTAAAACTTTCACTAATAATCTAGTCTCTATTTTTGCACCAATAAAATAACATTAAACAGAGGAGGACTGGTGCTAGGAAATGAAGTCACTTAGTGGCTGAACTGAAGGTCAAATTTAAAACACCGATTTGTCATCACAGAAACGAGGCCCTGCTCACAGCCTGCAGACAGAAACGAGTCACCTTGAGTCATCCACTTGGCTGCAGCTGCAATCACAGGTAAAGGGTGCTGGTGAGGAAGACGGAAAAACATTGTAATTGGTGCATACCACTGAGCCAGAGGTTTCCCAGCTGTGATGGGAAGGGTCAACCTGTGTGCAGTCAAGTTACTCAACAGTGGACTCGGGGTTTAGAGTCATGTTAGCAGCTTGGTGAGACTGTCCCAAGGTCCTCAGGATAAAATGCTCATGTCTATAGGTCATATTTATATGTTCAGTTCACATATAGCACGCAAAGCCCTGATAACTTAACTGAAAAACTTAATTTTTATAAGTATCTGGTCAGAAAACAGTTTTTGATATATTGCAATAGGTTTTTGTGATTTTTTTTTTCAGCAGAGCAACAAAACGTCCCTACCAGAAATGCACTATGTGCCTCAACTTTTTCCCCTCTTGGATGCCCAATAGGGGTCAACCTTGTTTCTCTTATAGGAACTCAGCAGTTTCTGTCATATTTCTGGCCTGCTTCCAGAACAAAAAGTGATCACCTTAGTAGGGATATCCTTGGAAAAACCCCAAACCTATTCTAATGGTCATTTGTGATAGATTCCAAGCTGGCTAGTTATTAAAGGTACAAGGGAGGTCCTCACATGTCATCTTTAAGGAGCAAAGAGTTAAAAACTTGAGCAACAAGGACATGCTGTAATGACGCAACGCAGGGATAGCTCAGTAGGTAGAGTGGTTGCCCCATGATCGGAAGGTCGGGGGTTCGACTCCACTGAACAGCTACCCTGAGGTACCCCTGAGCAAGGTACCGTGCCTACACACTGCTCCCCGGGCGCTGCATTGGTGGCTGCTTCACTGGGTGAATGGGTTAAATGCAGAGGAGTAATTTCCCTGCGGGGACTAACGCATACACATCAAACATTAACATTAAAGTAGATCTGACACAAATATGTACAAAAAATTCATGATATTCTATTAAAAACACTGCTGAGATGCTCTAAAGCTAAAATCATCCATTTTAACCCTAAACAAAGTCAGGATGTCAGTAATGAGACATGAAGATTGGCCTTCTGGGGACACCAAATGTGTGTAAAAAATTATGCCAGTACACCTAAACTGTTGAAATTACTTGTTTAGACGGTAAACAACAGTAAACAACTAATCTAAACAACAGTTTAGATGTTGAAAGAGTGACCCAAACACCTTCACGACCCTTAAAGCCATTTAAAGTGATAGAGCAGAGGCCTAGCCTGTTTTGTAAAGCTTCCACCACCTTCTGGGAAAAAAAAGAAGAAAATGGGCCTCTCCTGTGTGTCTGCTGTGCTGGGAGCAGGCCGAGACGCACTCTCAGCTCTGACAGTGGCCTCTGCCAGCGGGCCTCAGGTTAATGTTTCCCTCGGGGTTTACAAGCAGCAGGCTACAGAGGGAGCCTCCAGCTTTTATGGAGAGTTTCCCAAAGAGGAAGAGCAGTCTTTACCACAGCGAGAGTTTACAGTCGTCCACAAAACAAATGTTACTTGGCTTATCGGTGTGATCTCAGATGTCAATGCAGGGAGGTGAAGCAGTAAACACACAAAATCCGAAGTGGACCTAAACATTTGGACACTGGTTATGGTTTAAAAAATAAATCAATAAATAAAAATAAACTTGGTTGTCCAACCACAACTTAAGGGAAAGGGTCTATACACAACATTTAACGTCATACTCAAGATCTTTTTGCAGCCTGTAAATGTATTCTTCATGGTTTAACCGTGCCAGTTGCAAATGTGGTTTTTTGGCCACATTTTCCAGCTCCACCAATGAGAAAGATCCAAAAAACAAAAGGCCACTGTATTTTTTGTGGTCAGCATCCATAAGCATACTGAAACCATTTTCACACATGAACTACAGCCAGGCAAATCAGGTGTGCTGGTGTACTGTTCAAAAGTAATCTTTCATCACATTTATCATAAAACAAACTATCTGCATGAGTCACATTCTCACTTTTGGATACACTTTTGGTTTAGGCAAAGGACACACATTCACTTTGTAGGCATCACGACAATAACCCGGGCTACTCTACCATGGTATAGCGAGCATGACACACACCTTGTACGTGTGTGCTGCCAGGTTAAAGACAGCTAGTTGAGTTTTCCCATGTACATATGTGAAAGCAGCTAGACAGTGAGGGCTTCACTCTCAGTTTCTAGACATAAAGTTGGTCGGTGTAGGGAAACAATTTAATACTCGTGACTTAGGTAGCGCTATCCACATGTATAACGCTAACTGCTAATTGTGCAGTGGTGCTGCATACGTGCACCTCACAGGAGGGAAGGAAGGAAGGAAGGAAGGAAGGAAGGAGAGAGACACAGGGAAGTCTCCCCTTCCTAGCATGAAGAAAAATTCAAGTATATACACTAGTGGTAACACACCGAATTATATTAAGCTTGTTTACATGCAGATTTAAATGAAAAGAATTACAATTTCTTTACATTTTGCTTACAAGGAGCTAGATATTCTTGTATTGTACAGCACGTGGCAAAAGTATCATTTGTTCCCATTTATTTAGCTGAATCAATTAAAAATGCCAAAGATAAAGCAGTTTGTCAGATATAAAATAGCATTTTTGCACCAACAAGGTTATTTCCAAAGAGCTACTAGCCAAAAAACCTGCCATAGCTTACCATGTCATGCAGCATGTCCTTAGAAATAAAGGAAATTAGACAAGTGGGGGAGAAAAGACGAAGTAGCAGGCCTAAGAAAACTATAGCAGATGAACTCTTAACTGTAAATCATGTCAAAAGAAACAAAGGAAAGAATTCCACAAAGAGCCGACACAGGACCTGAGAAAAGTTAAGAAGGAAAAGAAACCAGGATAACTAGAACTGGAGTCTAATCATTGCATAAATCCTGTTGACACAGATTTTATCCAAATTTGAAATGTTGGGTTCAAATCTACTTTCAGATTTGAATTCAACATACAAAACCATCTAGAAATCATCTTACTGGCAACGGTGTAATTTATTACTGCCTTCTAGATAATCACAGCACAGAACAGTAATAAAGAAATGTGCAGAAATGTTAGCAAAGCTGCAATGAAAGGTACATTTCTTGATTTGACACAATGCAACTGGCCAACAGTAACACTGCCACAACAAAAGGAACACAACACATGAATGCAGCTTTATGGATGGCTTTCTCTCGCCTTGATTTTGACCCACAACATAGCATTTCAGTGCTAAGCTCTCCTCTCCTTAGCCCTCTTCCTCATGACCATCCTTCCTTTTATCGTATAATCACACCATTATGTGCCAAACCTCCATCTTCTCTCCTACTTGCTCATATCTTGCTGACTCTCCCTCTTTCTCTCTCTGATGAACTGGAATTTCTGAACTCAGCACTGCTGATTAAGCCAAAAGCAAACACGAGCACACACCATACACGCACACACGTGACAGCAGACAATGAGCTCGCACACTAAAGAGACAGGGGTGCATCCCATCCACACAGCTCTCCGCCGGCCTGCTCACCGCAGAGAGACAATGCCCGAGGCAAAGAAACATTAGGTATCCAAACGACCCCCATAAATAAGCCCAAAGCAGCCGAGGCCAGATTTAATCATGCACACTAGTCTGCCTGTCCTTATTCTGCGATGAGAATGATGCATCTATGAATATGATGTTCCAACACTTCAACAGTCTCTTCACTTCTCCACCAAATGTAGACGCTTGCTACAAGCCCAGGCAAATGTCAGTCTTTCTGTGACATCATATACTGAACACCTCATAATTCTGGACTGCTGTTCAGACCAATAATAGCAAAATGAATAAAGTCTGAGAATTTATAATTTCCACACTTATTTATAAAGGAGACAAGATTAACTGAAGGTAAGTATAATCATTGGTTGTAGCCTTTTCACTGGCTCGCTGGTTAGGTTTAAAAAAAAGAGCACACTACGTGTTTACTGTCTGTGAATCTTCAGGTTGACCCAGTATATCAAAAAAATATTTATTAATTTATTTATCTATTTATTTTTTGCAAAACACATTACCATATTACCATTAGCACAATGGGAGCCTACACAACTGCACTGCCACAGGCTGTCACTCTGCCATCTGGTATA